TTTCATCTCTAGTTCCTATACACACAGGAAAACCTGAATTCTAATAGAATATTCTGTAATGACTTCCTTGACTTCTGAGCCTCAGTTGGAAGTCATCTCTCATTGTGTGAGAGCACTTCATACACACACAGAGCTCCCAATTGAAGAGATCAAGGTCAACTGTTATCAAAAGTTAGGAGCAAGAACCCAACATAGGTCATGGCACAGACAGGTGCTCAAATGTCTAAAGAATGAGTATGTGAATGAATGAATAAATGAATGTGATTTCTAAGGAATGAATATGTGAATGAATGAATAGGATTTTTTTTAAAGTAGTACTGTTTTAGATTTCACTAAAACTTATACCGTTAGCTCTTTATATGACAACACTTTTAAAAAAAATAATCTTTACATGTAATAAGTTCATTGTAAAACATTTTGTAAAAAGTACAGGTATTATAAAAAAAAAAAAAAAAAATCACCTTCAGACCCACCATCAATGTTAACATTCCCAAAAACCAATAATGTAATTTGAAGTTATGTGTAAGATAGTGAGTATGACCTTATAACCTATTTTTTAGGTTATATGACAGCATCATGGAACATAAGGATCTTGCCATATAACATTAACTTTCTCTTGCTTCTATATAGAATCCCCCAAGTACTCATATATTTCTTTTTAATGGAATGCTTAAAACTATGAAACGGCCTTCTTTTAGGTCATTGTGAACCTAAATGTGACCTCACATTATGAATCAAGCACCATATTCTGAGAATATATGTATGAGTTATCAATTGCTGCTTCACTCTAAAACTCAGCCACTTAAAGCAATAAACATTTATTATCTCACCCGGTTTCTGAGGGTCAGGAGTTGAAAAGCAGCAGTTATCTGGGTAGTTCTGGCACTGGATTCTCATGAGTCAAGATGTCAGCCAGGGATGCAGGATCCATTTTTAAGATGGTTCCCTCAAATGTTTAAGTTGGTGCTGGCTACTGGTGGGAAGTTCTATGGACCTCTCCACAGAGCTACTTAAACATGGAGGCTCCAAGAGAGATAAAGTAGAAGCCATGATGCTTTATGACCTCGCCTCAGCGTCACACTCCACCAACTGCACCATATCCTCCTGGTTATACAGTCAGCCTATTAATGTGGGAGGGCACCACACAGGCATGAACACAAGGAAGTAAGAGCGTAGAGCAAGACTTTGGAGAACCTGTTTTCAAGAGCTACCATTCAAAAAGCCATCCAGTTTGCACCCTCCATCCAAGTGAATGTCAGCAGACCAAGAGTATGTCATTCTAACTGCCCTCTCCTTATCTGTTAAGAAGGAAGAAAATAATTATAATATAACTTGACAATGAAGTCTATGGTACTGGTAGCATGGGCAAGGATCCAAAGAATGATTTCCACTGTCTCAGCAAATTAACAGGTAACAAGTGAGTTGGACACTGAACAATTAGAATACTACTCAATACTGACTGAAATGAATCAAGATTTCCTCCTCAATAAATATGGCAGAAAAACACTCCCTTGTAAACGTAAGTTCTATGAGAGAATTAAGTCCTAATGCCCTAAGGAAGCTACTATAAGTAACGAATTAATTTATTTCCTATGTATCTAGAAGGCACAGCCATGTCCTATCCTTGAGAAAAGAAAATATTCACTGAAATGATTTTCTGTAGGGCTGAATTTTTTCACAAAATCCTAGTTGAGAAAGACCACAAAATGAATTGAAAAGATAGTTCACAGACATAAATATAGCAAGATCTCAGATATTCCCACACTCAGTTCCTAAAATGTCAGAAACGTACATAACTGTATATAAGGTATCCTAGTATAAGGCATCATACAACTACACCAGGGAAGCTAGGACAGAGGAGATTAACAGAGCCAACAGGTTAACAGAGACCTGGCCACACCTATCCCGTAAGGGCCCAAAGCAGAGCCGCTCTCTCAGGCAGTTGAAGGGAGGATGAAATGAGCCATCACTCCAATGCTAGCAGGTAAGAATAGTTTATGAAGGAAGGGAGAGAGCAATTAGGCAGGATAGGACCCCTTCAATTTGTATCCTCCATCCAAATGAATGTTGAGAGCAAGAGCATATCGTTCTAACCAACTCCCCCCTCACCCTTACTTGCTGAAGTTAGGATTTACAGGCTCACTGTGATCTGAAATTCTGATGCACATGCACCTAACCACAAAATGGTGTGATGTGTCTGAATGCCCCACGTGGTTCACAGAGGGATGGGAATGCCTCGGTCCCACATCACGAGTGCAGTTACTCCACACAGGAGGGGCTTGTTCATGCCCATGTGGTAGAGCACGGGGGACTGGGACAAGGCAGTCCATGCAGTTGTGGTGGGAAAAATCCCTATAGCCCAAACCACAAAGCCAATTTCTGTTCAGCAAGACTGCTATTATTCAGCCTGTGAAAGACCAAAGAATAAGAAAACGAATACTAAGCCACACCTTAATAAGTCATGACTGAATGGCATGCCATAGCTTGAAGGAAGCATTACAAAAGCGATCCTGAATCACGTGTTAACCTAAATCGCCCCACCTCAGGGCTGAGTACTTTCCATATTCCTCTGACAGTGACCTCTTAAAAATCCCACTTTCTCTAATAAAACCTTCCTAACAAACCAGCTAAAGTAAACATACATTTCATTCCTAAACTTACCTCTTGTTGTATATGTGTTTTAATGTATGTCCCTACTACTCTCTCCATTTTCTATTTTAAGTCCTGCAAGACAGAGTCCGTGATTCTCTCGGAATCTAACCACAAAAGCCTCATGAGGTTACAATAATAAGCCCTATTTACAGCTAACACTAACTAGCTCTGAAGAGAAATTCAATGAAGACCATGTTTTAAAATGGGAGCCTTTCTGAAAGTGTCACAATATATCTTAAGAGCGATACATGCATATTCAATAATAATATGTCTTGAGAGCCCCGACAGCATCACCCAAACCAGTCTGCCTGTCTATATTTAAAAAAAAACAAAAACAGTGTGTGGGAGTGTGGGAGGTGTGGAGGGAAACATTACCAGAAGTCTCTGAGATGGTTATTAAAACCCATACCCCTAACTGAAAAATAAAATAAAATAAATACCCATCTCCTTGAGTTCATGTTTAGAGTAATCCCAGACTGCTATCAACACATATTGGAGCCCAATACACACCTAGAGCATCATTTTCTATGATCTTGATTTCAAGCATCACTTCATGTTATATGTGAAAATTTGATTTTTCTTCACTTTCAAAACTCCGGTGCCTTATCTTGGCTGACAAAGCTGAACCGTCTTCTCAGCTGGACACCAAAATCCCACCACTAAAAAGTCAGGTTTTCCAGTGCTCCTTGTTCTTGGTAAACAAACTAAAAAGTTGTGGAGACCAAATGCAACTGGCATTCATTTCAAACTCCTAGTCCAAAATCAGGCTTAAGTACTGTTATAAGATTGTCATGTATCATTTGCCAATAAACAGCAATGTTCTCCATAGAAATAAAAGTATCCAAGTAGAAAATTAAATTTCCATTTAATGAAAAATTCTCCTTTAAAATATCATCAACGATTCCGCCAATTAGGAGATGCATTTGAAAACACAGATCGAATTTGTTCCCCAAGGCATCTGTCCCCTATTTCGGTAGTGAAATGGTCCTATTATGTAATATCACATCAATCCAGTCGCTAAAGTAAAAATCAGATGTTAAAATAAAACACGTTAGTCATAAGCATCTGAGAGAAAAGTACAGGAGAATTGGAAGTTTTCCCAGTGAGAGTTTTTCCTAAGGAAAAAACACCCAAACGGGAAACAATACTTTGACAGAAAATCACTTTTATTGTAATCACTTTCAGAATCACATGGTACATAATGATGAGACGTGCCCCTCGTTGCATGGCTCAGACTCAGGGAGACCCACTGTTCTCAGCAGAGTGGAAACAGCTGTAACGTGACCCAACACCTCATCCTCACCAGCACTGAGCCCTTATCAGAGCTCAGGACTCACCAACCCTTTTTTCCTCTAAAAGCTAACCTGAAAATTACTCTTTCCAGGTTCTCTCTCACACAGCAACACTGCCCCCCAACCACCCCGGCCCAACCCCCCTCCTCAATTATTTGTGACTCTGGGATTTCCTGTTAAAGCAAGTATAGGTAGATTTTCACCACAATATTCAAGAATAGTCAGAAAATCACAAATCTCCGATCTTCTCTGAATTGGAAATGACTCTCTGGATGGAGTAGGGAGAACTGGGAAGCCCACTGATGGAGAAGGTCACACAAATCACTTTCAGTGAAGATCCTTTATTTCTACCACTTGTTAACACTGTTTAGATCCTATGCTGAAACTTACTGTTATCCTGACTTAAAATCTGCATCACTGGGAACCTTTTCTTGAGCTTTGATTTCTTTTAGCATTCAAAAAACCAAGTCTCAGTCCTCATGACTTCACACACACAAAAGATGGTCTTACAAATTTCTGCCCAAAAAACGATTGTTTTTAAACTATACCTTTTGGAAAAAGGTTTGTGAAAAGTGGGTGACTAACCAAATCATAAAATTCCTTCCATGCCTGCCATGCTCACAGCGTCATTATGATAATCTTTTTCATCCACAGACGTCACGCCCAGAACAGAGTTCATCTTTCTGTTTAATGATTCTCTATTAGAGAAAATCTGATGTGGTTGTAAACTGTAAGGAATGAAACCTCAATTATATCAGAGTCTAATGGTCTGGGCAATCTATTACAGTGTTAAGCAAAACAGAAAGTCAAGCCCTAGCCAGTTTGGCTCCCTGGATGGGGCGTTGGTCTGGGGACTGGAGGGTTCCAGGTTCAATTCCGGTCAAGGGCGTGTACCTTGGTTGCGGGCACATCCCCAGTGGGGGGTGTACAGGAGACAGCTAATCGATGCTTCTCTCTCATGGGTGTTTCTAACTCTCTATCCTTCTCCCTTCCTCTCTGTAAAAAAATCAATAAAATATATTTTTAAAAAAACAACCAGAAAATCAGATTACTTACCTTGTGCAAAGGGAGCACGAGGAACGCACCTCCCCCACTTGCTTCAATGATTATGGCAACAAATCTGGGATTGACAGCGCAAAAGGAACTATCCCAGGTCACTCGAGAAACACGGATGTCATCATAACACTGGTCATTTTTTACCGCTTGTCCAAATACATGCCGGAACTTGCTTTGTCGTACCACGCGCCTCATTGTGTCTGTAGGAGAACAAAAATTATGTTAAAGTCATGCACTCAACTGAAAGCTTTACTTTTACAAATTAAAAAAAAAAAAAGCTCTAAGTAGAAAAAAAATTAAAAAACAGAATGGTATGGCATTTTGTCTGCTCCCGTAAAAAGCAGCCTAATGGCAAATCCAAAATTCCTTGAGCAGCAATACCCATAGAAAACTAAAAATGCGTCAGGGAAACGTCAGGGAAAGAATTACAAAGAACTGAAAAATTCCTAATTCAAGATCCAGAAACTGCTCATCAGTTTAATTTCAGGGAAAAGATCAAGACAAAAAATGAAGAAAAATTAGCCTTTCAGGACTGGGTGGGAATTGAAAGATAAGGAAATTCAACTCTCTCCCCCTTTTAAAGATAAGAAAACTCCAAAGTTAAGTTATATAGTAGATTTGAAGCTCAAGAACCCCTCCCCCCACAAGAAAAGATATGACACCGGCCTTTTCCTCAGTCTGTCAAGGTAATTTTCCCCCAGACACCAGCACTCCCCTGAGAATTCTGCCCGCTCACAAGTGTTTCCACAAGACCAACTATGAGTAGTAGAGAATTCAAGAAATATAAGCAACCACCCTTGTCTTCAAGAGCCTTCCAACACAGGCATTATCATCAGAGCAAATCAGAACCAAACTCCTGGTGCTGAGTGCTACCAGAAATCTGGCTAAGGCAACTGACAGGTCAAAAGCCAGGACTCAAACAAGAGTAGCAAGGACTTAAATGGAGAGTAATGTGATAAAATAATGTTTGGGATGGCAACAAGTCTGACAGTGGCGTACTAGTATTTTAGACAGGAAGAAGCTAAAAGCACATTCTGGGCTAAGAGCTGTGACAATAAGCCAGGCCTGGAAAGGCCTGGAATGACTGTAGCAGTAGCAGTTGGACAGCGGAACAGAAAACCTCAGGGAGGGGAAATGAACCAGGATGGTTTTTCACGTCAGAGTTGATCATTCACCTGAGGGAGGGGTGTTATTCCTGGCTTCCTCCTGGGTCATTTCAGACTCCAAATTCCACTAGGTTGTCAGATAGACATGTGCACTGAAAGCTTCCTGCTTTAAGATCACCAGGCCCCACCCGGTGAGGTGTCCTGGACTGTGCCAATGTAATTATCCTCCCTGTCGATGTAGAACATTCTGCTCACATTGGCTAGGATAAAAGGGGCCTGGAGAAAACCTACGTGGAAATGGAACTTGGTCAGCTGAAAACCAGGCATTCTGACCCCCATCAGGTACAGAGGAGAGCTAACACCTGTCCTCTCATGCCAAATGAGACACAAGGTGGGCTTTTGCTAATTGCTTCCCTCTACTTCCCTTTCTATGACGCTTGGCCCACTGCTAAATGCAAAGGGAGATCATTTATTTTCGCCAGTCTCTTTCTAACCTTCTAAGGTGTGTGCAAAACTTGCTCTCTCCAAGCCTGGGGCATGTGGCTGGGTCGAGGTAACAGACTGTTGGCAGGCAGTTGAGCACCCATGTTCCTCAGCCCAGCTGTTGCCAGACCTTTCCAGCTGACTACGAGGACCATACATTTAGAGAACTTGGTAGAGGAGAGGGCAGATTATTTGCTTCCACTTGGCCAGGGTTCTTCATCTGTGAAACAGTGTGAATAATTCTCAAGCATGAGGAGATAAAGAGCTTCCATAAGGTGGTGAAAACCACAAGAAAAGTACATCCATACAAAAGCCAATGTACCGCCAGCTGGTTTCTGGATCCATTTCCCTACACAACCATCTGCACAAGTTAGCAGAAGCTCAAATCCCACCAATACCTTCTAGCAAGTGTTTCAAAAGTAAGTTAACATAGAACTAAGGATTGCACCATATGTCAAGAGTTAATATTTTTCATACACAAAGTTCTTACAAATTAAAACATGAAAATCCCAGTAGAAAAATTACACAAAGGACATGAAGAGGTAATTTACAAAAGAAATACAAGTGGCATTTATCTCCATTCCTTCCTGGAATTCTAATAAAATGGCAAAGAACAAAAGCAGGTATAAACACCAAAGGACATGAGAAAGGCCACTAAATGGAGCCTAAGAAGAGTGCAAATGAGATAACAAAATCTTGGGAGATGGAAAGCTGCCCTATACATGCAACTGACTGAAATGCGAATGTCCTCCGTTCTCTTGCATGTCGCAGGAGGAAGGGCTCATTTGAAAAGACCAAAGCCCACGGAAACCCCAGAGCACTCAGAAGAGAAGCAGGGATGTGGGAGAGGGGCTACTGAGAAAACTGACGCCTAAATCAGAAGCAGCTCCCCATCCAGACCACCCTTTCCCTGCTGCACAGAGCACTGCCGGCACCCGCTCCAGCAGAGCCAGACTGCATGCCCTGGGCAGGCTGACACGTAGCACGGGTGAGCACAGGCAGGAACAGGTGTCACACTGACAATGTGGTTCTGTATAGTGGAGTCTCCCTTGTTACTGGGGCTCCCAAAACACTGGCTACCGGCCATCTGGTAAGATCTCACCACCCCCTGTGAGATCCACCACTCAACCAGCCCCTCAGCCCACACAGGCATGAGGTCAACTTTTTGTGCCAACCTTTTAAATGTGAATGGACATTTGAAGAAGGCCTCTAATTTGAAAAATAAGAGACAACTTTCCTCTTCACTCAAATAAACTAGATATCATCTAATCTCACCAGCAATATAAACATGGATACGTGAAGTGCTTTGAATATTTTAGTAAAAGGTATTACACAAATCTGCTGGCTAACTTACATACTAAAATACCTTTAAAAGTCATTTCTATGTTATACACAGTGACAATTTATTTTCATCCTAACTGCATGGAGTCAGAATGATACACAGGTTCTTTTGCGACCACCATAGATTAGAGTGTCGGCTACAGAGCAGAGACAGTGAGAAAAGTCTGTGCTTCCACAGTGCTGTGCTGACTGAGCCAGGCAGGTCCAAGTGGAGACTGAAGAGCATGTAAGCCCACTGACATCCAAGGTTGAACCTGATCTGAGCTCAGCTGTCCACATGTGGCACAGCTGCTTTTCCTGCACATAACAGAGAAAAACAATTAAGAGGGCAGGCTCCAGAGTCAAATAGTCTTGTGAGTGAGAAGCACAGCTGTACCATTTACTTCCTGGCCAGGGTTCAGTGGGGCAAGTCAATTTATCTCAGGTGTCAGATTCTCTACCTGAAAATGGGTACAATACATATAAAGTTGAAGTGATCATTAAATGAAGTAAGCACTTGGTGGTAGGAGTGTAACAAGAGATTAATATGCGAAGGCACCTTGTATGGTTAAACACATGTATCTAATTATACAATATGTGTCAGCTCTTATCATCCTAGAACTTTACATAAGGTAACCCAGATTCAAATTCTAGCTTTACCATTTATTAGTAACTTACTTAATCTTTCTGAGCCTCATTTTCTTGATCTATAAGAATTAGAAACAACATCAGACAAAACTCAGGTCCTGGGAATAATAAACAAAAATCACATAATCATCTCACATAGAAAAGCATCTGACAAACTCTTGCATGATAAAAACACTCAACAAACTAGGAATAAAAGGAAACTTCCTCAAACTGATTAAAAACAAACAAACACAAAAACACTTTAACAATATCCAATGGTGAAAAATACTTTCTCCCTAAGATCAGGAACCAGACAAGATGTCTGCTTTTGCCACTTCTACTCAACAATCTACCACAGGTTCTAGACTGGGTGATTAGACCAAAAACAACAACAAATAAAGGGCCCTCGGATTGGAAAGGAAGAAGTAAAATTATCTCTAAGTGCAAATGACATGATCTTACATATAGAAAATCCTAAGGAATACACTAAAAAACTACTAGAATTAATATTAGCAAGGTAACAGGATAAGAGACCCACACTTAAGAATCAATTGTATTTCTGCACACTGATAACAAATAATCTGAAAATGAAATTAACAAAACAATTCCAGACCCTAGCCAGATCACTCAGTTGGTTAGAGTGTCATCCTGATATGCCAAGGTTTCGGGTTCAGTCCCTAACCAGGGCACATACAAGAATCAATCAATGAATGCATAAATAAGTGTAACGACAAATTGATGCTTCTCTCTCAAATTAATTTTTTTTAAAAAGAAAACATTCACAATAATATCAAAAGGAATAAAATATTCAGGAATAAACCTAACCAAGAAGGTGAAAGACTTGTATACAGGTATACCCCATTTTATTATGGTTGGCTTTAAAATGCTTCACAGATGTTGTGTTTTTACAAATTAAAATGAAGACCCTCCACCAGCAAAAAAACCCTACAGCTCGCTGTTTTACAACACTTGCTTTATTGTAGTATTCTAGAACTGAACCTACAATATCTCTGAGGTATGCCTGTACTCAAAATTATAAAACATTGATGAAAGAGATTAAAGAAGACACAATTAAATGTAAAGACAGCTGTGTTCATGGACCAGAAGACATTACTTTAAAATGGCAATACTCAGTGTAATCCCTATCAGAACCCTAGCTGACTTGTCCCAAGAGTTGCCAAAACAACATTGAATGAGAAGAACAAATTAGGAAGATTCATACTTCCTGGTTATAGGACTCACTACAAAACAATGGAAATCAAGACAGTGAGGTATTAGAACAAGAACAGACATATAGCCTGTCCTGTGTGGTATGTGAAGTATATCTCAAAAAAGATGTGGGTTTTTTTTTAAAGCTGCAAAGTTCTTAACACAGACTCTGATGTTAGCAATTATTATTTAAGAGCCCACTAATAGATTTTTCTACCCAAGGGGGGAAAAAAACAAATAAATTCTCCTGATTATGGCCAAAAGTGTAATTTTCACATATGAAAACCAGCATCAGTTTTCAAGGACCCTTTACAAAATATTTTTGTTCCCTCACCTCAGCATGGAATTCACTACACTAAATTTCTCCTCTAACAAAGGAAAATAGGGATCTCACACAGAAAAACTCCCTTCTTCACAAGACAGCTGCCTGCATTATCAAGTTTTATTAGTGTTTCATCATATTATTGTTTAGCTACAAATTTCAAATTACAATGTCATACCATCAAATTTAATTCTTTCATTAAATATCTTGTCCCAAATCACACAACTAAAGTATCCTTCAAAACCAAAGTATTTTATAAATTAATTCTCAATTATATTTTAAAAAGTAAATTTTAAAAATCCTGAAATAAAAAGCCCAAGGAAATACTACTACTTGACACAATTTTAAATACCTTACCAGAGTTCAACCTTGGAGAAGTTGCCTACTTATAATGTCTTTCAAGTACAAATTCCTAAAACTTTGTAGGACTTTGCATTTGGAGGATCATCACAGTATTAAAGGAGACGATGTAGACATAAGTCATCTATTAAGCAAATCAAATATTTACCAAATGTCAAAATATATTGATTTTAGATAGGAGAAAATGCAATGTAGTTTTGAATTTCCACAAACCTTATGTAAGACCTTATAACATGCAATTTATCATCCTACCCATATTTCCAGTAAAATTGGGATTATTCTAAAATCAATTTCATTATGATAAAAACTGGTATTTGAACAATGTGAGGATAGGTTGAGAGAGCACAGGCTTAATATGGAATTCACTCACTGGAATTTAGTTGAAAACTCTATTTTAGAAATATGAATAGTAATTTCCCCAGCCCAATTTTCCAGGTGATACTGAAGGACAGAGAATTAAGGGTTGGGTCTTGATTGTCCAACAACCATCATAATAAATTTCTTTTTTAAAATGTATCTTTTTCATAATCCCCATGTTGTACATTATTTCGTCAGGATTTCTTAATTTGTTGCACATTATTTCGTCAGGATTTGTAACAATCAAAGTCTGTCACTTTGACCACCATCATCCAGTTGACCACCACCACCCCAATCCCTGCCTCTGACTCCCACCAATCTGTTCTTTTCTACAAGTTCAAGATTTTTTGTAAGTTTTAGATTCAACATATAAGTGATATCATACAGTATTTGTCTTTCTCTGTCTGATATATTTCACTTAGCATAAGGCCCTAAAGATCCATCCATGTGGTCACAAATGGTAGGATTTCCTTTTTTATAATGAACTAGAGGCCCAGTGCATAGATTCATGCACCAGTGGGGTACCTCAGCCTATCCTGCACCCTCTTGCAATCTGGGAGCCCACAGGGGATAATAGTTAGTGCCTGAAGCAGCAGAGGGCCAGGGAGGAGCTAGAGCCAGAGGGCTCGATCCTGCTCATTCAGACCCTGCTATGCCTGCCACACTGCCACTGAGGTGGGCAAGGCTCCTGCCAGTGCACTGACCACCAGGGGGCAGCTCCTGCAGAGCATCTATCCCCTGGTGGTCTGTGTGCATCCTAACTATTAGTCAGCCGGTGGCTTAGACTTTTATATATATGAGATAATATTCCATTGTTTTATTTTATATACCTCATATTCTTTATCCATTTGTCAATGGGCACTTAGGTTGTTTTCATATCTTGGCTATTATAAATAATGCTGCAATGAATATGTGGATGCAGATATCTTTCAAGCCAATGATTTTGTTACTTTTGTACAAATAC